TCTAGAAGGGAATCCTACGTCTGGGCTCAGGAACAATAGGCCAACAGATTCAGAGAATGGACATTCCCAAGTACCCAAAGGAGACGGGAATCCCACGTCTGGGCTCAGGAACAATAGACCAACAGATTCAGAGAATGGACATTCCCAAGTACCCAAAGGAGAAGGGAATCCTACGTCTGGGCTCAGGAACAATAGACTAACAGATTCAGAGAATGGACATTCCCAAGTACCCAAAGAAGAAGGGAATCCTACGTCTGGGCTCAGGAACAATAGACTAACAGATTCAGAGAATGGACAGTCCCAAGTACCCAAAGGAGAAGAGAATGTTTCACCCCAGCCTAGTATAGAGGAACATGCAGATTCAGTCAATAAACAGTACCGAGAACCTAGTGAAGAGAAAACTCATCAGCAAGAATTCAGGAAAGTTGGTAGAGATGGTGAAGTAAAGGAAGAACCGAATACTGGAGGCTATCAAAGGGGACAGGTATTTGCCCTTTTTACGTAGTTTTATCAAATTAGCTAATTTGATAAAATTAGACACTCTGATAACACTCTGTGTTATCAGAGTGTCTATCTGATAACACAGTTATTTGAAATCTAGAACACCTCAAGATTTTTCATTGTTTAGCAGGATATAATTATAACCTGTAGACGTTTGTACACTGTAGTTGACCAGGCCAGCAACCATGGCTACACTTGAACAATTTTTTGCTTGAGAATGTGCAACTTATTTGTCCTTGTGCAAGTTATTGACTTTCAAAAATTTCTAATAAAATGTCTATGAAAAATTTTGAAAATATAACTCTTACATGCACATGTATTAGCTAGTAAAGTGGGAAGTTACAAAGTTGGCAATTTTTTTCTCTTTTTTATATCATAATAAAAGTATCAGGGGAGTACATTTGATCCTTTCACTCCAGGAGTGTCCAAAAAAATTAATTGTCCTTTCTTTTCATTAAAAAGAAAGGCAACAAGAAGAACAAAAATACCAAGCATACATGTAGGATATAGTTTTATTTTAAACTAAATCCTCAGGGCTCAAATTACAAGAAAGTATGGATGACAGTGAAGAGAGATGATGTGGAGCTGACTTCTGTTGGTCTCGTCATTATTTTTTAACCCTCACCAACTTTGTTTGAATTTGATATACTTATGTATTTCTGTTGCCAATACAGGAGGACCTTGAGGATCGCCTGGATGTACGTTTTCAAGATTTTACAAAGGATGGGTAAGATTATTGTTCTTATGAATGTAATAAATAAATCTTATGATGGTTAGGTGTTCCAAGTTTTTTAAAGGTCAGTTTCCACTTGTGATCCCAGGTCAAAATTTTTAAGTTACTTCCTTTACTCCCTGTGACTTAACCTTTTTGCAAGATGGCCTTGATTTTTACTTTTCTGACATAAGTTGCCCCTGCCAATAAATATTCATTTATGAAGCAGTTCAGGAGATGTAGGTAGTAAAATTAATCACGGGGTGGGGGAGAGTTTACAAGATAATTTGGTCTTAGAAACTGAGTTTCTAATAAAAATTTTACTAAAAGAGTTTTTAAAGCTGACATTTTGAGAGAAGGTGAAAAATAATTACCATTTCTGAATTCCAAGATACCTGACCTTCATCCCAAGGCCAAGCTCGATAGCTTTGTTTCGAAACAACTTTCATTTTGTCAGAATCGAAAATCGATTTCACATTAATGGCTTTGCACTTAACCTCAGTTAAGAGGAGACATTTTTTTTATTTTTGGAATAGTTTGGTTCTTAGAGTTCTTTCTCTTTTCATTTCTTTCCCTCTTGTTTTAGCATCTATCGTGGTTCAGATCCATATGAACACACATCAAGTCATTTTGCTGCCTATTTCTTAACTTCCATTGTAATGGTTTTTGCTGCTTATGCTGCTTATCACAACAGACAAAAGGTAACTGTTCTAATTTTATTCTACAAAATGAATTAAGGGAACTTTAAATGTTGGCTTGTAACAGTATATGTGTTTCTTCTCTGACTTTGAAGTTCAGTTACAACCACTTGAAGAATCTGGACTACAATAAACAGTATCAAAATGACATACATAAGAGTGAAAATTCACTGCCATGGCAAAGTCAGAAGAGGAATTAGGCAGTTTAACTGTTTACCTTTATAAGCCCCCAGATTGTACCCTCTACCCAAGCAAGACAAAATATTGAAGAGCATTAAAATATTTATGCCCAAATGTGTTTTCTTTAACAACTGTTTAAGACCTTTCATCAGTTTAGTCAGTGTGGCATGCTCTTGAATAAGTGGGCACTAGTGCTGGTCTCCTTCACAGCCTTCTTTGGGATGTCACACAACACTCCTCCCCCCCCCCCCCCCACACACACACACACACACACACACACACACACAAGTAGACAGCTTTATGTTACATCCAGAAGAACAGCCACATGTAAGCCACTTTATCTTGTAAGCCGTCTCTTAATCCTTGAGTTTCACTCTGCTAGTCCTACCCCTCCCATCTCTTCATGAATGGGCTGCAGAGGTAAGTGCTTTTCGGAGCTCATGCAATGTAGTCAGTCAATATTAGAACAATCCTTCATTTCGCCTTTGACATATAAGTGTTTGACTGCGATTTTTAATGTAATTTCTGATTTTGTTTCAACAAAGATCATAGCAATCATTATAGAGGGCAAGAATGATGGCAGTAGCAGAAGACGTGGCTACAGGAGACTGGAAACTAACGTAGAAGAAGCCATGCCGTCACTGAAAAATGCAAACTCGACATACGTTTATTAGAAATTCGGTAGAGTGACAATTAGTTAGTTTATTTACGGAAAAGAACAAAATATGTAGCAATTTGTCAAAACAAACAGACAAAGGGAATGGAATGTAAAAGGTATTCGATGGAAAGTTAACCATTTGTTGCTGATTTTTTAAGCGACTTTGAGCAAGTATTTAATGAAAGTGTTTCAAAAGTATCAATAAACCGGACTTTCGTTGTTGCCTTTGCCTTTCAAAATACGTTAAATTTCTAAGTCCATCTATCTGCAATGGTGTAAAAAATTTTGTGATGGACTAGCATCCGTTGCTAGTGCGTGGGCTTTAATATATTAGTTAACAAAGTTTTTTAATGTAGTTCATTATAATTAAAAAAAAAAACGATGGATTAAATGCTGGGATTGTACCTGTTTATCATGGTAACTGGTTGCTAGAGTCACTAAAAGGATGTTTCGTTGGAAACTTATCATAAGCGGTTACCAAGGTGCAGACTGAGAGGGTCCTTGGAACTTTTAGATTTAAGATGTCAGTGGAAGTTGTATTTCTCAAACGTTGGTAGCTAGACTCGGTCCTTTTAAAGCCTGAGCCGTCGGAGCAATAGTAGTGGCGATCATCCTTGGGCCCTCTCTTGTCTCTCTGTTTCCCGCTAAGTGGCAGTTACTTCATCATTGGCCGTTTTCACACT